GCCTGCCGCTGTTGGCTGGGCTGTGGCGGGGGGTGTCTGCTCCATGCGCTGGGCGATACAGCTCAGTCACTTGGCTCCAGACATGGTCACTATGGGGTCAGTTTTACCCCATCTCTGGTCAGTGTCAGTCCCTGTGTTCCTAGAGCACCCAGCACTTTGGGGTTATGGGGAAGGGGACCTGGGAGGGACACGGGAATGGCGGGGAGGGGGGGAGGCTCAGGGAAGCAACAGAAGTCACTTCAGTTTATAACAGGAGATGATCATCTGGGTTGCTTAACTGAAGCCCAGATCTGGGGCCAGGCCTGGAACGTGCGTCAGTGTCACAGAAACATCGACTCTGAGCCCAGAAGGGCCGAGTGATCGTCTGCTCTGACCCCACCGAGTGCAGGGACCAGCCCTGAGTGAGCCCTGCCTGGCACAGGGCAGATCCTTCAGAAAACACCTCCGGTGCTGGTGGAAAATTACCCTTGATGGCGCAGCCCCGTGCCCTGCTCTGGGTACTGAGTGCCGGGATCGAGGCAGTGTGCCCTGATGGTTAGAGCGGGGCCAGACCTGGGAACAAGGGAGGGGCAGAGCAGGTGCAGGGCAGCAACAGGCTGGATGCCAATGGCAGGAGACAGGCACGGAGCAGGGACCCTCATAGCAGAAGGACATCAGAGCACCTCAGCTGGGTCATTTCCTGGCTTCTTTTATTAATTTTAAATTTGCTCCCCATTCATTTCATTTGGTGTCCTCTAGTTCTTCTATTATGGGAACTAATGAAGAACTTTTCTTTATTCACCCTCTCCACACCACTCATGATTTTATAGACCTCTATCATATCCCCCTCCGTCTCCTCTTTTCTAAGCTGAAAAGTCCCAGTCTCTTTAGCCTCTCTTCATATGGGACCTGTGCCAAACTCCTGATCACTTCAGTTGCTCTTTTTTGAAAGTTTTCTAATGCCAAAACATCTTTTTTGAGGTGAGGAGACCACATCTGTGCACAGTATTCCAGATGTGGGCGTCCCATAGCTTTATACAGGTGCAGTAAGATATTCTTCGTTTTGTCTTCTATCCCATTTTTAATAATTCCTAGCATTCTATTTCCTTTTTTGACTGCCGCTGCATGCCGCATGGATTTTTTCAAGGCTATGGGGATTACAGTGGGTGAGAAGCTGGATATGAGTCAACAGCGTGCCCTTGTAGCAAAGAAGGAAATGGCATTTTAGGTTGCATTAAGAACATTGGCAGCAGATCCAGAGATGTCATTATTCCCCTTTATTCGGCTCTGGGGAGGCCACATCTGGAGTATTGTGTCCAGTTCTGGGCCCCCCACTACAAAAAGGATGTGGACGCATTGGAGAGGGTCCAGCGGAGGGCAACCAAAATGATTAGGGGGCTGGAGCATATAACTTATGAGGAGAGGCGGAGGGACTTGGTCCTGCCTTGAGGGCGGGGGGCTGGACTCGATGACCTCTTGAGGTCCCTTCCAGTCCTAGTATTCTATGATTCTATGACTTGGGTCTGTTTAGTCTGCAGAAGAGAAGAGTGAGGGGGGATTTGAGAGCAGCCTTCAACTTCCTGAAGGGAGGTTCCAAAGAGGCTGGAGAGAGGCTGCTCTCAGTAGTGACAGATGGCAGAACAAGGAGCAATGGTCTCAAGTTGTGGTGGGAGAGGTCCAGGTTGGATATTAGGAAAAACTATTTCCCTAGGAGGGTGGGGAAGCACTGGGATGGGTTCCCTAGGGAAGCAGTGAAGTCTCCATCCCTAGCGGTGTTTAAGTCTCGGCTTGACAAAGCCCTGGCTGGGTTGATTGAGTTGGGATTGGGCCTGCCTAGAGCAGGGGGCTGGACTTGATGACCTTCTGAGGTCTCTTCCAGCTCTATGGTTCTATGATTCCATGAACGATAACTCCGATATCTCTTTTCTGATTTGTTGTAGCTAAATTACTCCCCATCAAATGGTATGTATAGTTCAGGGTATTTTTGCAATGTGCATTACTTTACACTTATCCACATTCAATTTCATTGGCCATTTTGTTGCCCAATCACTCAGTTTGGTGAGAGCTCTTTGAAGTTCTTCACATTCTGCTTTGGTCTTGACTATCTTGCACAGTTTTTAGTATCGTCTGCAGAACTGACCCTTAGGGAACACCACTAGTTATCCCTCTCCATTCTGAGTCAGTGCTCACATGAGTGAGGCGCTGGCTATGAAGAGTTTTCTCCCTCCTCCTTCTCCCCTTCTAGCCCGGCCGCCTGCCCCTGAATTCACTGTGAGCCCACAGTACCGCGTCTTCCTACGGGGGGAATCTGTGATCCTGACGTGCTCAGCTCCCAGCACTGCCAATGTGTCCGGGATCCGGTTCTTCAGGGATGGCTGGAGAATCATCTACAGAGAGCTACAGTGGTCTCAGCACAACACCAGATCTTTTCAGCTGTCCAGTGTGTTGGACTCGGAAGCTGGAACGTACAGCTGTGATTACTTGAAGACAGAATCTGTACGAAAGATCCCATCGGAGAGGAGTGAAAACATCTCCATCGCAGTGACCGGTGAGACCCTGCTGTAAGCTAGCCCCATGGTCAGGTCTCTCTCCTCCATGCACTGGGTGATACAGCCCAGCCACTCGGCTCCAGACAGGGTCCCCATAGGGTCAGTTTTACCCCCATCTCTGGTCAGTGTCAGTCCCTGTAGCACCCAGCAATATGGGGTTATGGGGAAGGGGAACTGGCAGGGAGACGGGGATCGGGGGGTCCCAGACAACCAACAGAAGCAAATTCTGAATTTATAACAGGAGTTGCTGATCTGGTTTGGGGGGACCAGGCCTGTAACATGCGTCAGTGTCACAGAAATATTGTCAGAGTGGTGGTCTGCTCTGACCCCAGGGAAGATCCTTTAGCACACACCCCCAGTGCTGGTAGAACACTGCGCACGCTGGTGCAGCCCTGTGCCCTGTTCTGGGTGCCAGGACAGATGCAGCCAGCCCTGATGGTCAGAGCAGGGCCAGACATGGCCACAAGGGAGAGGCAGTGTAGACATAGGCTGGATGCTGATGGCAGGAGCCATGCCCCTCACAGCAGCAGGATGTCACAATGGCTCAGGCAGGCCACCCGACAGGCCATCCCCTAGGCCTGACCCCCCAGGATCCTCTGCCTGGGGGAGAGGGAGGAACATCAGAGACCCCGGTTCCCTTCCAGCCCTGCCCCTATCAGGGCTCCTCACACTGGGTCCCCAGTCACCTGTACAGGGCTCAGTGCATCCACCCTGGCATCTTCCAATGGCGCAGCTGCCAAGCTTTGGCAGGGACCCAGAGCTGTGCAGAGGGGTTTGGCTAGAAGAGACAAAGCTGGGATTTGAACCCACCACGCTGCACTCCCCCGGTGGTTGCCCTGTCCCCTAGGCCACTCCAGAACCTCCTTTACTGTCCTGTATCGGGACACCCCATATCCAGCCTTCCTATTGCAGGTACATCCAGGAGGTGACCGGTGCTGGCAGGCAATTAGGGATTCGAACCCACTATCCTGTGGGTGCTGGGTGAAGCTCTGAGATGTGGGAGGGAGTCCCTCGGGCACTGCTTCTACAGAGCTCTCACATTTCCCCCTCCTCCCCTTCCAGCCTTGTCGTCTGTCCCTAAACTCACGCTGAGCTCTCCCTACCCAATCCTTCTGCATGGGGAATCTGTGAACCTGACGTGCTCAGCTCCCCGCCCTGCCACTGTGTCCAGCATCTGGTTCTTCAGGGATGGCCAGAGAATCGGCTCCAGAATGGCCCAGCGGTCTCAGGACGGTGATGTCAACGCCTCCCTCCTACTGTCGAATGTGTCTCAGTCACACACTGGATTATACAGCTGTGAGTCATGGAGGACAGAGCCTGGGCGAGAGATCCCATCAGAGAGGAGCCGACCCCTTTCCATCGCAGTGACTGGTGAGACCCCCTGCCTGCTGCTGTCGGCTGGCCCTAGGGCCGAGTGTCGCTCCTCCATTCACTGGGTGATACAGCCCAGTCACTTGCCCCCGGACAGTGTCACCTTGGGCTCAGTCTCTGGTCAGTGTTAGTACCCGTGTCTCTGGAACACCCGGAACTTTTCGGGTTATGGGGAAGGGGATCTGGCAGGGAGAAGGGGATGTGGGGGTCCCAGGCGAGCAACAGAAGCGGCTTCAGTTTATAACAGGAGTTGATCAGCCGGGGTGTTTCACTGAAACCCTCATGTAGGGCCAGGCCTGTAACATGCGTCAGTGTCACAGAAACATCGACTCTGAGGCCAGAGGGGCCGAGTGATCGTCTGCTCTGACCCCACCGAGCGCAGGCACCAGCCCTGAGTGAGCCCTGCCTGGCACAGGGCAGATCCTTTAGACACACCCCCAGGGCTGGTGGGAAACTGCCCGTAATGGTGCAGCCCTGTGCCCTGCTCTGGGTGCTAGGGCCCGGGACAGAGGCAGCCTGGCCTGAAGGTAGGAGCAGAGCCAGACCTGGGAAGAAGGGCGGGTCAGGTGCAGGAAGGAGGGGCGGTGAGATATGCCCTGCCTCCTGGGGGTGTACATCACTACCCTGCCCCCCATCCTGTCCCACCGGGCCCACCTTCTGGGGCTGCTTGCCACTGCTTGCTCCACTCAGCCAAGTGCCACAGCAGGAGGGAAGGGGAAAGACAGAGGGGAGAGAGAAGCAGGAGGAGGGGGAGAAGAGAAAGGGAGAGTGAGAGGCAGGAGGGGGAGAAGAGAAAGGGAGAGGGAGAGGCAGGAGGGGGAGAAGAGAAAGGGAGAGGGAGAGGCAGGAGGGGGAGAAGAGAAAGGGAGAGGGAGAGGCAGGAGGGGGAGAAGAGAAAGGGAGAGGGAGAGGCAGGAGGGGGAGAAGAGAAAGGGAGAGGGAGAGGCAGGAGGGGGAGAAGAGAAAGAAAGAAACAGAGAGAGAGTCAACAAAATGGCAAATGAAATTTAATGTGGATAAGTGTAAAGTAATGCACATTGGGAAAAATAACCCCAACTATACATACAGTATGATGGGGGCTAATTTGGCTACGACAAATCAGGAAAGAGATCTTGGAGTTCTCTGAAAACTTCCATGCAGTGTGCAGCGGCGGTCAAAAAGGCAAATAGGATGCTAGGAATTATTAGGAAAGGGATAGAAAATAAGACCCAGAATATCTTACTGCCCCTGTATAAAACTATGGTACGCCCACATCTTGAATACTGTGTCCAGATGTGGTCTCCTCACCTCAAAAAAGATATTTTGGCCTTGGAAAGGGTTCAGAAAAGGGCAACTAAAATGATTAGGGGTTTGGAACGGGTTCCATATGAGGAGAGGTTAAAGCGACTGGGACTTTTCAGTTTAGAAAAGAGGAGACTGAGAGGGAATACGATAGAAGTATATAAAATCGTGAGTGGTGTGGAGAGGGCCGATAAAGAAAAGTTATTTATTAGTTCCCATAATAGAAGAACTAGAGGACACCAAATGAAGTTAATGGGGAGCAGGTTTAAAACTAATAAAAGGAAGTTCTTCTTCACACAGCGTGTAGTCAATCTGTGGAACTCCTTGCCAGAGGAGGCTGTGAAGGCTAGGACTAGAACAGAGTTTAAAGAGAAGCTAGATAATTTCATGGAGGTTAGGTCCATAAAAGGCTATTAGCCAGGGGATAAAATGGTGTCCTTGGCCTCTGTTTGTCAGAGGCTGGAGAGGGATGGCAGGAGACAAATCGTCGTCCCTAGCCCGGCTCCTGCTCATTTCTATAAGCAGCTCCTGGGGACCCTGTTCTTTCTCCAGAACCTCTGGTTTCATTGCAAAGTTCAGCTCAATGGGCTGAATTCTGAGCTCCACTTTCTCCCCTCCCGGGGCCCTGCTGACCCCTCTTCTTTCTTGCTCCCCACAGATCCCCCTCCCCGGCCGGAGCTGAGCGTGGATCCCCCGTCTGGAGTGATGAGCGAAGGGTGTTCACTTAACGTCACCTGCACGGCCCCCGGGGACGCCCGTGAGCGGAAGTTTCACTTCTACAAGGATGGAGTCAAGCTTGTTCCTGGGGATCTGGGCTCTGAGATCAGCACCGTGGAGCCCAGCACCAGCTCTGTGAATGTCTCTGTGCTCATCATCCCATGGGCCAGTCCCAACATCACTGGGGATTACACCTGTGGGTATGAGGAGAACATGTCTGGGAGGTGGATCCAGTCTGCAAGGAGCCTGGCTGGGAATGTGGTTGGGAATGTCACAATGCCAGGTGAGTCTGCTGCTGCCTGCTAACATCTCCAATAAGCTCCCCTCCCCCAAAGCCACATCCCCAGTGCTCTGGCTGGACAAGCAAGGGTAGGACAGGTCACAGCGGTGTTACAGGCAGGCAGGAGAGGGACAGACACACAGGCAGGAATCATCTGGGGACAGTGTCCATGTGTCAGACAGGGAAGGGCTGGAGGTGGGTTTCCCATCTCAGCTTGATGGCCCTTGAGATCCAGGGGAGTTCATCACAGATCCTACAGGCAGAAAAATCTTTGATTCCACGGGCAGGATGCTCAGCAGTGACATTAACCGGCTGGTTCCATTCACGATTCTCCATCTCCGCAGCTCACGGCTTCCGCTGGGTCCGGGAGCTGGCCGTGGGTGGCTCCTTCTTCCTCATCAACGGCCTCATCTTCTACGTCTCCTATCGCTGCTTCTAGAGCCAGGTACCTGGCTTGTTCTGCCGAGGGGCCCTTCATCCTGCCTTTGATTCTCCCCACAAGTTTTCCTATTTGCTGCAGTCACTCCGCGTGAATTTCAATCTAGCTCATTTTGACGTTGAAGCTAAGTGCCTGCTTTTCAATCAACTATTAATGAGGACGTGTTCTCTTTGCTTAATCCATGGTGTCTAATGCACATGGTGCCAGTTGATTTGATCTCAATACGGGATACAAACACACACCTTAAATCCAGGGTAGCATGCTAAGAACTGGCCAACTCATTGGTGGAGACCAGACCAGGTCACCTGACTGTTGATTTTGCTCAAAATAGGAATTAGTCTCCTAAGTGTGTCTCTTGTGTTCAGATGTTACTACAAAATGCTGATATGTAGCTGCCTGCAGTCACCCTCCTGATAACGCCCGTACCAAATATTACAAGGGGATATTTCAGTGTTTGAGCTGAAACGATAAACACATGCAGTGTGGAGAGCACCAGGACCACGTGTGGAATACGAGTTTGCCAGAGGAGGGGTTATTTCCTGCCCTGCCAAAGAAGGCCTCAAGACAATCAACTGTGGAACAGGAGAGGGCAAAACTTTTGGTGGATTGTGTCCCCTGCTCCTTGGAAGTGGAGACGAACGTGTGAATGAAAGTCCCCAAGGAAAAGAAACTGAATCGATTTGGCTGTTTGACCTCAGAAGGGCCAGAGACTCTGCATTGAAACCAGAGATCCCCATGAGATGCCTCCTGGGTTTGCGCAGAGAGATCCTGTGAATAGACAGGTCCCTGCAGCTCTGTCACTCTTTGTATTTAGATATGAACTCTTTGGGTTGTGTCTCTTTCCTGGCTCTAACCTGCAGCTAGCTCTCTTCTTCCTTTTTTCTTGTGAATAAACTCTTATAGCGTTTCCTGCAGACTTGGCTACAGTGAGTCTTTGTAACATCTCTGGGGCCAGTTAATCTGGGGTAGGTGACTGACGGTTTGGCCTGAGTTTTTGACAGACGGGACCAGTTCTCTGTCTTTGCAAATGTTCCCTGTGATACCTTATACCCTCCAAACACCTGCAAACACCAATTTTAATCTCCCCCCGAGGGACATCGCTGCGCTAGGGGCTGGTTTCGGTGATTTCTCCATGAATGAGTGAGATCGCAAGCTGGTATCAATGGGTCAGACCCAGATTAGGTAAATAGACCATAGCTCAACTATTATGAATGGAGCCAGCCCTGCTGAGGTGCCTATGAAGCGCACGGGGCCTTTATAGGGGGAACAGGCGATACAGCTTGTTTGAGAATACAATGGCAAAGCAGTTAGCATACACTTATATAGACATATTCCACCAATCACTGTTATAGTTACCAGTCCATGGCCTGTGGTCAGCCTGTTCGATATCAGGCAGAGGAGCAAGGGGTCTATCAGTCTGCGATGAGGCTCCAGTCATGGTAGGCTGCCCTCACACTCCTTTGATAATTTCTTTCCCAACAGGATCAGTGGGTTTCCCCTTGTCGTGCTGTTTTTTCCAATGGATGTTTGTTCTCTCTAGTTGTTTCTCTTGCTCCTTATTGTCTTTGTTCTGCCAGGCTAAGCTGGTTTCAATCACAAATTCTTTGTCCCAATGGATAAATGCTTGCCTTCTTTCAGAGCCCTCGATTTGCCCACTGCTTCCGCCTCCATGGGGAGGTACAGCAATCTTCCTAGTTTCTTCCTAGAACATTTGGCCATCACACTTACCTCTTAGAATCATAGAATAATAGGACTGGAAGGGACCTCGAGAGGTCATCGAGTCCAGCCCCCCGCCCTCAAGGCAGGACCAAGCTCCGTCTACACCATCCCTGACAGATGCCTATCTAACCTGTTCTTAAATATCTCCAGAGAGGGAGATTCCACCACCTCCCTTGGCAATTCACACTTCACACTTCTCTCTTCCTACACACACATGTTGGTCCTTCCCGGTGGGTTTAAAATGTGCCTTGTGTTCTTATTCTACCAACCCACGATGATCACTGAGACATCTTATCTTTGAAGCCAGTCTATAGTGTATGTGTATTTTATACCTCCTTAAGATCTTTGCAAAGACCTCAGTTGAATTACAGTCTTGGGACTTGGTGCCTTAAAAGTCTGACATCAGCTCCACAGAGCCCAGCACCAGCTCCATGAATGTCTCTGTGCTCAGCATCTCAGAGGCTGGTCCCAGCGACACTGGGGAATTCACCTGTGGGTACCAGGAGAACGGGGTGGGAGGTGGGTCCTGCCCCCAGGAGCCAGACTGTGACTGTGACTGTGACTTTGACGGGTGATACGTCCCTAATGTCTTAATCCAGCTCCCTTTGTTGCTCCCCCCGCCCTGCACCCCCACCAATCTCAATCGAACAGGAGTTGGATGAGGAGACAGATCTTACTCGGAGATAGAAAACCCCCCATTTCTGACTCCCCTCTCTTTCTAGCTATGACACTTCAGTGGCTTAGAATCTGGGCACCTCATGACACTGAATGAAATGAACCCCTCAGTGCCTGTTTTAGAGATGGAGAAATGAGGCAAAGAGGAGCCAAGTCCCACAGGTGATCTGTGTATTATCAGGGAGTTGCCCGCCACAGCCAGTGTCAAAGACCAGCCCCCTCACCACTGGACCATCCTCCCTCACTTCAGAAAGAACATCAGGCTGAATGTGCAATGGCCACCACAGTGAGGGGTTATCACAGGAAATCTCCTGCAGGGCTGGATTGCTCTGAGGGGCTCAGACCTTTTATCACGGCTGCCAGGCTGTTCTCATTTTCTGTTCCTTCTTTTTCCTTTGCACCCTGAACAGCCTCATACGGTGATATTCTGCTGGGAACTGGTGGCGTCTTGCTCCTGATCGCAGCCCTGGCTGCTCTGCTCTGCTACTGGCACAGGAAGAAGAGAGGTGGGTGAAAGCAGGCGAGAGGCTGGGCTCTCCCGCCTGTGCCTCAGATCTGGTCTGGTCAGAACTATTCAGTAGTGATCTGGGCAAAGAGTTTAAAATATTCACAACCAGAAAGGAACCTACCACAGTGCAGTGTGGAAACCAAACCGATCCCTGAATTTCACAAATATCTATTTGTCTGTCTGTCGGTCTGTGAGTCTTTTTGTTGAAGAACGCCTCCACAATGGTAAGAGGCAGGACCTCCAAACTTCAGATGCAGCTTCCTCTTCTCCTAACTGCAAGCAGGGTGAGGGTGTGGCTGTGCCAGGAACAAAGGGAAGTGCTGGGAATGGGACTGTGTTCCAGCCCATGGAAAGGGAGGGGGCAGAGAGAGGAGGGACATGATACCGAGCATGGCCACTGGGGGCAGTGAGCCTGCAAGGAAAAGCTATATGCGGCGTGACCCCTGAGAGGAGCCATACCACCAAGACTGTGGCCAGTAGAACTGGGACTCTGCCACCTTGCCTGCCACCAAAACAGATAACTAGCCCCAAATCCCTCCCCCCAGTCCTTGTCCCCAGAACCAGGGCTCTGGTGGCCTGGAAGGAGTAGGGGGGCAGAAGGACCCTAGCGGCCAAGGCGCCTGCGGGAAGACAGAAGGCCCTGGTGACTAGGGATGTGGTGGGGAGATTGTGGGGGGAGAAACAGAAGGCCCTTGTTGCCCAGAGCCTGGAGAAGGGGAGGCAGAAGTCCCCTTGGGGCCAGGAGTGAGAGAATCCCTCCCTGAAGGGGACCGCTGATCTGAGATCTTCCTCACCCCCAAACCTTCACTTTGACACCCCCACACATCATCTTGCAACCTTGAGATCCCACATCCCCAAGGCCCTGCCATGACTCCTCCACACACCACACAACCAGCCCTCTGCCCTGAAGGACCCGTGTAACACTGGGTAAGTCTGCTAGTCTACAATAGGCAGGGTAAGTGAGGTATTTAACTCTGAAGGAGAGGACAAAGTATAGGAGGAAGACAAACACCTAAAAGAGTATTGTTAGGCTGTCAAGTGTATATTGGCCTAAATTTGACTTCAGCAACACCTGATGTCAAACAGCCAAGTCAGCTGAAGTTTGGTTTAAGACACATGATTTCATTTGACGTCAGCACGAAGACATTTGGTCGTGCTCTGGGTGAAGTGAGGGTAAAATAATGGGAATGTTGCTGAAGTTTCCAGGGCTCTGTGCTGAGAGAGAATGTATTTAAACAGAGTGACTGTGGGCATGAAGTTGAGTTTGCGTCGTTTGCTCAAGGTCATGCCCTGTAGCTCGGTCTTACTTCAGGATATGTCTCCACCTCAGCTCCCTTCTTCACTGCTTCTGTGCTAGTTCCAAAGACTCCAAAAACCATGGAAGGTGTTGAGCTTGGAGAACGCCCCAGGAACCTGGATCCAGCCCATGACAGCAAGGGATCAAAAGCCACGGACGCTGGAGCGGAGGAGGCAGAGCAGGTAACATGGCTGCATTGATACGCTAAACTCGAGTCAGCAGAATCCAACCTCTTTGAATCGACAATGCCTGAATTTTTCCCCAACATAAGAACGGCCGTACTGGGTCAGACCAAAGGTCCATCTAGCCCAGTACCCTGTCTGCCGACAGTGGCCAGCACCAGGTGCCCCAGAGAGGGTGGACCAAAGACAATGATCAAGCAATTTGTCTCCTGCCATCCCTCTCCAGCCTCTGACAGACAGAGGCCAAGGACACCATTTTATCCCCTGGCTAATAGCCTTTTACGGACCTAACCTCCATGAAATTATCTAGCTTCTCTTTAAACTCTGTTCTAGTCCTAGCCTTCACCGCCTCCTCTGGCAAGGAGTTCCACAGGTTGACTACACTCTGTGTGAAGAAGAACTTTCTTTTATTAGTTTTAAACCTGCTACCCAATGTTATGTTGTGTTATGTTCTTATGTTAGAAAGGGACTTCAAGAAGACGTCAGTTCTTCCCCTTGTGCTGTGGTAGCGTTAATTCAACCTGGCCCAGCCCAAAGGGTGTTTGGCATTTGATAGAGATTTCCCAACATCCCCAGGTGACTTATTCCAGAGCTTAACTGCCTTTAGAAGTAGAGCATTTCTCATAATCTCTCACCTAAATCTCTCTTGCCGCAGACTACACCCATTCAGCTTGAACTGCAGTGGACATAGAGAATAGTCCTCTTTATAACACTGGCTTAGCAGACGTCTATCATGACCCCATCAGCCGAGTCATCTCCAGACTCAACGTGCTCTGCTCTGAACCCTCCCCAATTTGCCCCCGTGTTCTTAAATACAGGATACGCAGAACTGGGCACACCACGCCAGCTGTGGCCTCCCTAGTCCAGAGTAGAGCAGGACAATTATCTCCCATGTGTCTTCCTGTTCGTACACCCAAAAATGCCAGTCGCCTCTTTCTCATCAGCAGTATCCCTCCACCCCTCCCCCCTCACCATTTCTCTTTCCTCCCCCAACAGGATTCAGAAGTCACCTACGCGCTCTTAGTTCTCCCAAGCTCACCGGCCCACACAACCCAGTTGAAAAACAAAGCCACGCCTGTTGAAGATGAACATGTGCTGTACAGCGAGGTGGTGACAATCCGCACCCAGAAAAAAGCTAAATAAGAGGGGAATCCCTCTCCCTGTTCCTCCACATCTACTTCCCCTCCTCGAGCACTCACATCCTGAACTGTTTATAACGCAACAGCCTTTGTATGACATGTGGAAAGGGCCCACCCAAGTCACCGTTGTTGGAATATTTAGCTAGTCAGGTATCATGGAAAAACTGGTTAACCCCCTGGTCATGAATATCACTGTGTGATGTGTGAATGGGTTGTGTCAGATGTAGCTGGAAATACGTTATGAAGGTATTTGAAGAACTAACCAGCTGGAGACACACGAATGTGGATTTATGAGTTTATGTGGCTCAAGTGACCTGGCAACTAAAAAATACCACGGGGCTTGCGGACTGCTACCATGTCTGAGGCTAGTTCTTGCCCAAGCGACAGGTGTTAGCTGAGAACTGACAACTCATTGCTGGAGACTGGGCAAAGTCACCTGGGTGTTAGTTTTGTTTGATATTGGAATTAGACGGATAAGAAAGTGTTTCACGTTTCTTTGCATAAATGTTCAATTTGCAAGAATGTGTTTCCTCTTCAGAATCTACAAAATGTTCGTGTGTTTCTGCTGCCTGCTTAATCTCACTGATCATGGCCGCACATCATGTTATCAGCTGATATTTAATTATTTGTTCTGGGACTGTAAACACCTAGTCAGTCTGGAGAGCAGCACGACCAAGTGTGAAATACGAGTTTGGCACAGGAAGGGCTATTTCCAGCCCAGTGGAAGTGCCCTAGACATCAGACAAACAGTTGTGAAACATCTGAGTACACTGGACTTTGCTATTTGTTCTCCTAACCCAGGAACTGGAGACCTGCATGTGAACTGGTCCTGTCCTCCCAATCTCGGCAGCAAGGGAATAAAAATCCCTGACACAAATATCTGATTTTTGTCTGTCTGAACTCTGAAGTTCCAGGGGCTCTCAACAGAAGCCAGAGATTCCCAGGGCAGGCTTGTGGGTTTGCCTCCAAAACCCATTTTCACAAGGAGGGTGGGGAAGCACTGGAATGGGTTCCCTAGGGAGGGGGTGGAATCTCCATCCCTAGAGGTTGTAAGTCTCGGCTTGACAAAGCCCTGGCTGGGTTGATTTAGTTGGGATTGGTCCTGCCTTGGGCAGGGGGCTGGTCTTGACGACCTCCTGAGGTCACTTCCAGCTCTATGATTCTATGAACAGATGACCGGAGCTCCGTCACGCACCAGATGTAGATGGGTAATACTTGGGGTGTCTTTTTAACCTGCAGAGAACTCGCTTATTCCATTTTAATAAACCTTTAGGCTATGTCTACACTGGCATGATTTTCCGGAAATGCTTTTAACGGAAAAGTTTTCCGTTAAAAGTATTTTCGTAAAAAGCACGTCTAGATTGGCAGGATGCTTTTCTGGCAATGCACTTTTTGCAGAAAAGTGTCCGTTCTAATCTAGACGCGCTTTTCACGGATCGTCATTTTCACGATCGGGGCTTTTTTGCGGAAAAGAAATCTCTGCCGTCTACACTGGCCCTTTTCCGGAACCGTTTTCCGGAAAAAGACTTTTGCCCGAATGGGAGCAGCATAGTTTTTCCGGAAAAGCACTGATGATTTTACATTAGATTGTCAGTGCTTTTCCGGAAATTCAAGCGGCCAGTGTAGCCAGCTGGCAAGTTATTCCGGAAAAGCGGCTGATTTTCCGGAATAACTGGCCAGTGTAGACACAGCCTTAGAGAGTTTCTCACAGCACTGGCTATGGGTGTGGTTCTTTGGTGTAGGATTTAGGGACCCCATTGATCTGGGGTAAGTGGCTGCTGTCCCAGGCCTGGCAGCAACCTATATAGGATGTGATTTTGGGGGTCAGTGACCGTTGGCCCTAGTTCCACTGCCTGGCCGCAAGGCGATCGACTGATTATCTTAAAGGCCAACAGCATCACCCAACGCTCCTTCTCGGTTGGCCTCTGTCTGGTTCCTGTTTTGGCCACAGATTTAGGCCAGTGGCTGCCAGAAATCTGTAGGCACCGGTAAATTCATGGCAGCAAAGGCAAACTCTGGCAGAGACCTCAGGAGTCATCGAGTCGAACCCCCAGCCCAAAGCAGGACCAACCCCAACTCAGTCTTCCCAGCCAGGACTTGGAAAAGCCAACCTTCAACACCTTTAATGATGGAGATTCCATCCCCTCCCTAGGGAACCCATCCCAGTGTTTCCCCCCCTCCTAGGGAAATAGTTTTTCCTAATATCCAACCTAGACCTTCCTCACTGCAACATGAGACCATTGCTCCTTGTTCTACCATCTGCCCCCACTGAGACCAGCCTCTCGCCAGCCTCTTCGGAAACCCCAGCAGGGAGTTGAAGGCTGCTATCAAATCCCCCCTCACTCTTCTCTTCCGCTAAACAAGCCAAAATCCTTCAGCCTTTCCTCATAGTGGTTCCTTCTGAGTTTGGGATCTAGGAAAATGAGAGAGAGAGAGAGAGAGAAAGTGGGTTATTGGCCGGGGTGTATTTCCCAAGGTGGGGTGGGGCCAGGGAATGAGATGACGTTAGTTTGTGTTTATGTCTGTCCAGGACCGATCTCTTCCACCTTGTCCTCATCCCATCCTGGCCTCTCCCTCTCCGCTGACCACCCTCCCTCTGGCCCCTGCACACTCTCCACTCCCTCCCACCATGGCTCTCTGCAGCAAGTGGGTTACTCCCTTGGGTCTGGCTCCTTGGCTAGGGCAGTTTTTTGGGAGTCAGATTCTTCTAGCCAAAAGGGCAGCCAGGCCCCATCCCATTTCACAGCCCCAGTGCAGGTACCTGGCTGGAGCTGACAGCTGGGAAGGGCAGGGCTGGGTCAGACACTGGAGAGGGGAATCCAGTGGTGAGGTCTCCTCTAGGAACAGCAGCTCTGTCCCCAGGTCCAGTGTGGTTGGTACATCCCATCGTGGCTGTGCAAAAGATTTCTTTCCCACCAGAGACGTGATGATGGCTCCTGGGTCAGAAGGTCCGGGCCCAGCAGGAGGGTCTGGCTGGGTGGAGCAGAGGGAACTCACGGCTGTGGGGTTGAACGGGAGAGCTTCTCCCCACAACCCCATCTCAGCCGGCCTGCCCCCTTCTGCTCACCCCCAGCTCTTCCACAGATGGGTCCATCTCCAGCTGGGCCTGGCCTGGCCTCCAGCTCCTGCTCCCCAGCGCAGGGTCAGTCCCATCCCACAGGGTCAGGACTTGGGGACTGGAAACCCATCACTGCCCGTCTGCACTAAGTCTCCTGGTGCCGCAACAGAGCCTCTAAGTGTTAGTGTAACAGACGCCTGTGGGGCCAGGGGCCGTTCACAAGTCTGCAGCATGACTGAGCGAGGGCCCAGTGGGTGTCAATAGCTCCCAGCAGCCGGTGTCACACCTCTGAGCCTCCTGTTCTCCCTCCCCCCAAGGTGTCAGATTCTGCTCCGTACCCTCCTCCCCTTCATCGTCAGGCCCAGGAAATGGGCAGGTCTGATACCACACACCAGTGTCTCTCCAGTCCCTGAGCTGAGCGGTGACCACACCTGAGGCTGGGACTTCCTCTGCTGAGCCGAGCACCCAGCTCCCAGCCCGGAGCCACCAGCTCACCATGGTGCTAACTCTGCTCCTGCCTCTGCTGGGTAAGTGCCCCCCTCGGCCCACAGCCCCTCTGTGTGTCTGTCTGGAGACTCCCCCAGCCCTGCCCTGTGTCCCCATCTCCTCCCCAGAACTCTCACCCCCTCTCATCTCTTCTCTTCCAGCCTCGCTCCAGAGTCTCCCCAGGCCGGTGTCCCCTGCAGGTAAGGGCAGCCTCTGTGCTTGCTGAGCAGCTGGCTGGGGGCTGGCGGGGGGGG